TTGGAGTATCCTCAATGTGAGAGTGCAGACTCTGTTACCCGGGTATTCTGGTTGAGACGTGGTGTTCGTATCTCTAAGCCACGCTGATTTTCTTTTTTTATTTTTTTTTTTTTTCGGGAAGGGAGAAAACTGAGCTGTTGCTATGGCATCTTTGTCCCTTTCTGATCTGCCCAAAGGATTCCCTCCAGCAGGGACAGGATGGTCACCTGTCATCAGTTGGGCGGCGCATTCGCAGATGTCTCTGAGCGGTTCTGTTACCCAGAACTTACCGCTCTCCTTCCTTCCGCTTGCTGTCGCCTCCAGTTCTGCCCCAGCTGCCCCCTCTCTGTTGCGAGGGGATCCCTGCGAGAAGTTTTGCACCTCTGTTCTGACAGAGCTCTGAGATTCTTCCTTGCAAAGCCTGTGACAGGGGGATGCTGATCCTCGTTAAGGTCCTGGCGTTTCTGCTTAGGTGACCCACTGAATGAAAAAGACGCACAACAGTGACAAGCAGGCTCTCATAGTATTGGAAGCCTGGATGTAGTTACCTGTTTGCCTTTGTTCTTCTAATTAATGTTTAATTCACTAACATTAAATGGGAAAAACAGATTCTGAACTATACCATACTTAGGAAATCCCTAGTGGTTTTTAAGACCATTTCGAACAACTATGGAAGCAAAGAACGGAGCGTGAAAGCTCCACTCTGAAAACAGCAATGCTGACAAAGGTGTTATAAGCAGTATCCAGACAGGATGTCAAGAGATACATGTGCCGATGCTGAAAAACAGGATTCTCACAATTATTTTTTTTTTTTGCATTCTTATCTCAGAAACTTTTCTATCATTTTCTTCTACAGGCAAAGTAAAGACTCAAATCCATTTATGGGTTCGAGATCAGTGTACGTAGTCGGAGCCTCTTTAAATAAAAGGAGCTGTGTGTGAATGCAGCATGCCAGTTAAGCAGAATTAACATTGTAGATGGTCATATATAGAAGAATTGTGAAAACATATGGTTATCTATTATGTATAACGTAGTTAACAGTTATAACAATTGCTAAATTGGCAATCTGGAGCCAAATTAAAAATTTCACTTTAATGTTCAATAACAGCTCTTGAAGTGTTACTGCAAGAATTGTGTTCTTATTACAAAATACACAAATTCTCCGTTTCTATAATTATGTAGGGTTGCTAATAAAACTACAATGGATAAAAAAGCACATTTTGAGGCAATATGCGCTAGCATCTTCATTGAGGTGGTGTATTTAGCTGCCAGTTTAATCATGTGCTGTGCCTTGCTTTGTAACCAGCACGCTGGCTGTCCTGCTGAGGGTGGGTTTCTAACGAACCTTTCAGTCTGCTGTGTGGCTAACGGACTGCCAGTCTGATCCTAAAATAATTTTAGAGCATGAGACTCAACGGCAGAATTTTTGAATTGAAAAATTAAGAGATTCAATCAAATACTTAAATAGATAATAAGCATTGACCTCTTCAGAGAGAAAGGTGAATCTTCCAGGTAATCGTACTGTTTCTCGCAGTACTCCCAAGGTCGATGTCTTGCAATTGTGCCTGATCCTCCAAATCCGTCAGACTTGGGATTTACGTCTGGGAGTTCCCTGGTATGAAAGTAAATTTATAAGCCAGTTGATTTGCAGGATTCAGCTATTTAAAATTCTTCTAATTAAACCTTTTGCGTGGCCAGTTGAAAATGTCTGATTTTATCTTCCTGCCTTTTACCATGTTGGTGTGTATGCTTTACTGTTTGGTACATAGGACATGTCTGTATATGGCTGGGGAACTAACTGGCCAGCGATACCTTCTCACTGTTCCATATTGAGCTATAAAAAAAAGACTCTAGACTGTGAAAGGGAAAGTGGTGAAGCTTCTGTGACTTCGTACAGGTTAAGACTAGTCCCGATCCCAGTAAATCAGGTGGAGCCTCCATTTGAAAGGTTTAATATAACCCCTTTCAAATGCTTATGTTAAAAAATACTATTTCTGTAATACAATTGTGAAGGATGAGGGACTCACACATTGTACTGTTCCTACAGTTGCGACCCTAATGAGTTTTGAGCTGTTTCATTAATTTTTCCTCATTTTGAAGGCAGGTCGATCTCAAAGATGCTTACTACGTTCTGTCTTGTATCCCAACGAGCAGCCTGGTGGATGAGACCACTCTAGTTCCCTGGGGGGGGAGGACAGGGGAACTTGGCTTTTAGCTGTTCTGTCTCCCAAAAGCAGCTGCCTGCTCGGGATGCTTCTGTTGCCTGGCGGTCAGCAGCCTCTGGCTCTTGATGAGCCTGAGAACAAAGAAAAGAGCGGAGAGATGGAGCTGGAGGTGGTGGAGGGTGGTGGATGTGAGAACTCTGGAAATGTTGCGGTCAGTATTGTGTGGGATTTGGGGAAGTTAAGGCCAGAACTTAGAGGTACTTATTTCTAAAGTACTGGCTTTAGTCCGATCCAGGTGAGTCTCCACCGCCACTGCAGTAGCTTCTTTAAAGAAACAGGTTTTCCCAGACCAAAGGGCCGTGCAATCCTGAGTAAATCTAGAGTACGGAGGAAAGCATAACCAGCTGGTTGTAATCTTGGACTCGGGGATCCTTCTGGCTCCCTTCCAACTTGAATTTTTAATGTCAATTTGTGAGCTAATTGTAGGCTTCTGTGTATGACACTTTTTTATTTAATGCTTCATCAATACGATGATTCTTTACTTACTGAGCTGATAAGATTCCTTCATGGCCAGTTGGCCCAGAAGGAGTTCTGCCATACCTCTTGTTAATATCTAGATGTGAGAATCTTGTATTTAGAATGAAAGCTACTATTAAGTGCTTTTACATCTACTGTTTTTCTGTCATCGCTTACTACAGCACAGAGATTTTGGGTTTCTTGCTGTTTCTAATTAGTGAGGCATTAGAAATGTGTGAAGGTACAGTTTATACTTTTGAAAACATTATGGGTTTTTGTATGTAATTCTTCTCTAGCACTAATGCATTCCTTGTTACCTTTGTAACGTGCCATCCCTGAATTACTTATTTTTAGTATAAGGCATTACCTCCACATACTGACAACTGCAGCCATTAGTATTTGGTCAATCATACTTCCATAACACACACAGATGTTCATAGAATAAACTTGGCTAAAACCATATGTGTTGAGCAATGTAATGTCTTTGAAATGCTGTGAATTTCTAGTTAGACTAGAAAACGTTTGGAAAATTAGCAGTTCTGCTTGTGTGTTACCAACGTGCTTCAGTTCACACTGGTTTATTATTTAAGTTCCTGTCTCTGATGTTAAGCCGTATTGTTTACCTGTTACTGACTTTCCAGAATACAATGCTTTGAAGTCACTTGTTTGCTTGTATGAAGGAACTGAGCAGTAGCTGTCACGCGGCGTTTGCACCGTCTGCTTAGCGTGTGAAAACTAGTCTGAATGTTGCCCGGACGGTGTGGATGGGGCAGAGGCAGCCTGTGCCGGTTTGCAGCCAGTGAGTTTCTGTCAGTTGAAGCAATATGTTCCGCTTGAGACTCCTTTTCTTCCTTCCCTCTCTGTGAAGCAGAAGAGAGCTTCCTCTGGTTTGTTAGGAAGTAATTATATTGGGGTGCGGTGTGAACTTGCAAGTCACGATGAAGAGGATCCTGCTTACGAAAGCGACTGCTGTATAATTAATAACTCCAGGAAAAAAGTGAGAAGTACAAATTCATTTGCGTAGTTCATAGTTAATTTTAGGAGAGCTCTGTGGGTTTATTGTAATAGAAGAGATTTCATGTTCTGTAATATTTCAACTGGGAGACTTAGTAATATGATAGACATAACATGTAGAAAACACAGTAGTATTCCTTGTCATTTGTGGTAAAAAGTGATTTAGCTGGTGAGAACTTAGCTGGCCCTGCAGAATTGCAAAACATGATTATTGACTGGTTTGATATAGTGGTTTCCAGTATGTCAGCTGGATCAGTTGCTCAGGCTTCTGTCGGCTTCCAAAAGCCAAAACTCGTATCTGTGATTTTTTTTTTTTTTTTTTTTTTCCCCCCGGGCCTTAAACCATATTCTTGCACCTTTGCTGGACCCGTCCCGGGTAGTGATTTCAGGAAATAATGACAGTTAATCTGTCGTCAGCCCCCGGGTGGCACACACCTGCGCTACGAGCTGGAGGATAGTAGGGACTTGTCTCAAACAGAAAACCAGATACTGTTGAACAGCTACTGGTATAGTGGTATAGCAAATAGAAAAGGTTCTGAATGACTACAACAGCGTTATTTGAGTCAAAGAAACAAATCCCATGTTTTATTGACCATTCCTGGTGAGGAAGATAAATATGGCCTTTCAGTTCCTGTAGCAGGAAATATTGTATGTAAATGTGTTCATGGTTAAATTTTAATTGCAGAATAAAATTCTGGGCGGCTTTAGCTGTTTTGTTTGTATTTGCTTTTAATGATTGCTTACCCATGTGGTTGGTGATTAATGGGGCCATAAATATTGCTTACTTCTTCATTCCGTGCTGGAATTAACATTAACAACTAAGTCTGGTTATGGTGATTTGATGTAACCGAAGAGGCTGCCTTTACAAGAGGCAACTTTAGAGGAGCTTATCAAAGGGAAAAATGAGTTTTGTTCTGGGAAGGCATTTTGGCTTGAATGGAAACCTTCTGGAATACGTTCTCAGTTCAAAAGCTGTTGAGCCAGATGTATGTAGCAACAATGTTCTTATATTGATATATAGGAAAGAGACTTGGGCAACAGCTTTTTCTACAGTCTTAAACTTAGCATTTCTGATCATTTTTGAAGGTGTTGTATTTAAAATACAGCAATAGGATAAGCAGGATGAGCATATACCATCTATTAGTCTAAAATCTAATGTCAAATTGTATTAAACATGTTTATATCTTCCACCAATGTTAAACTCAACTGTAGTGACTCTTCTGTGCACGTACTCTTTAGCTGATGTATGTTGATGTTCTTAGGGGATTTTGTAAATATTTGATATTTAATTTTTCCTGTCCCCCATTCTATTTTTTTATTTCTTAGCTGGAGAAGAAGCAAGCAACCCCTCCGTTTCAGCCTCAGATCACAGACGATTACGGTTTGGATAACTTTGATACACAGTTCACCAGCGAACCTGTGCAGCTAACCCCGGACGATGAGTATGTTTTTCTTTTTCCCCAAATGCAATTAGTTGTTAAGAAATTAATTTATAAATGACTTGAAAATTGCAAAGAGGAGATTATCTACTTAGCATTAGAACATAATCCAGTTAAAGTAAATTTTAAATTCTTTGTATCCTACATCTCTTGCGTAACTTACCGTACTCTTTCTATATTAGAAGAGTGTCCGGGATTGTAATGAATTCAGGACAGAGTATTGATTTGCTGCTGAGCGTGCGCTTGGCGCTGGAAGAGGAGACAAATATGATTGCTGAGCGGGGCAGCCCGTGCTGCGTACTCGGGAGGCACAACTGAGGCGCAGCTCTCTGGGTCTCGAGTGAACTTGAGACAGGAGCAGAGTCTTACAGGAAGCTATTACTTAGATGTGCGATGGGAAAACTTTGCAGGAAAACAACGTATGTTTTAGCAAAGGAATTGGAAGGCTGAGGAGTGATTGCTGTACACGAAGGAAGAAGTTCCTTCAGATAGGAAGTGGCATATAAGAAGACAGGCCATAGTTTTGGTAGTCAGGCGGGAGACTTGGCTTGCCCAAGCTCTTTGAGAGAATAATTGTACACACTTTTGAGGGTTTACTGAAGCATTAGCTAGTTGGTCAAGGAGTTTTAATTTGTACAATAAATGTTACAGTGATTGAATTTGTGATTGTAAAAACGAACACCGTAACTAGCAACCCATTGAGTCTGCTCCAGTGGCAAGAAATCCACTGTTGCAGGGTCTTTCTCTTGCTGCATCCTTGGGTGGCGGGTGTTCGTCCTCAAGTAATGAACTATTTGGAGATTTCATTGTGGATATTAGTGCGCCCAGGTGCTCAGGCTTGAATTTTGTAAAAGTGTTACCTATATATCATAGATCCATAGCTCATGAACTGTTCTCTCTTTCTGGAGAGTCCAGCAGGTATGATGTGAATAGCTGAAGGGAAACCAAAGGGTGAAGTGCTCGGTTACGGGCTGTGTGACAGCAAAGAAGGGCATGGCGTATTCCCACTTTGCAGGTTCTGATTGACAACAAAACTGCAAATACCAACTGTGTGCACACCTACAGTGGGAAGTTTTCTGAACATCACATCTTAAAAGAAATTCTGTTTTTTCATATGCACTGGTTTATAAGTCTTTCCCTGAATTTCCTGTGCATGCAATATGTTTTTTTTTAAAGTATTAGCTTTGTGCTTGACTCTAACGTAGTACTTAGCTTACATGTACCATTAGCAGCCCTTATTTGTAAATCAGTATTACAAAACAACAGTCACTTATGCTGCTTTTTGGGCCCTCTAAGTATGCATGTTGCCTAACCGAAAAGGCAGAAGGAACTCTTTATCAGATGGGGTTTTTTCCATTTATTGTTGCTTCTGTATAACTTCCTATATATACATTTCTGTAAGGCATTTTCTTATTATTTGAAGAAAAAGTACAGTGACAAATAGTATCTACAATTGATAAAACTAAAACAATGCTTTTATTTGTTTTTCAGAGATATAATAAAGCGAATAGATCAGTCAGAATTTGAAGGATTTGAGTATATTAATCCATTGTTGCTGTCAACAGAAGAAACAGTATGAAGGAATGACATCTTCGTTGTGGACAGTGTGAATGACCTTTAACTTTATCCTTAACTACAGTATATGCATGCGAGGCTGGGGAACTGTAAGATTTTGGACGGAGACCAATGATTTTAAAAAATAATAAAAAAAAAAATTGCTGCTGAAAATCAAAGAAGATAAATAATGATTTTGGTGGGTGTCTTCTGCCACTTAGTGATTCTTAAGTTCTGGGCACTGACACAACTGGCTTCAGTAATGAAGGAATTTGCATTTTGTGCCTGTTTCATGAAGGATTGAAATGTTCATTGCATCCCTGGACAAGGAGATTCTGAAGAACTTTGAGACCTACACGCTTCCTACAAACATTTGATGCAATGAGCTACCAATTGAAGAATATTACAGTGTAACATCCTGAAGAATAAAATATATTACGGTGGTGTTGAAGCTTATTTTTGATGCCTTTTTTCACAAGTGGTACCTGTCTAAACGTCTCAGATATATTTAAAAGGAGTTGTGTTTTATTAGCAATCAAAACATAAATTTGGGTACAAGATTTAAGTGCCTAAATGGATAAACTGCATTGAAGAATTATTTCATATTCGGAACGTTCTTAAACCTGGTAAGTTCTGCTTGTTCATGTTAAGTAACCATTTACACATGAAACATACAGTTCGCAGCTGCAGCCTAATGTCCATTTGCATCTTTATAGAATTTGAAATGCAGAGTGACTCAGCAATATTAATTCCAAATTAGAATTTACAGTTTCGATTTCAAAATCTGTTGTTTTAAACTCCAAATTTACCAAAATGTATAGATTGAAGAAGACTAAATTTGCACACAAAGGATTTCTGAAAATACTTAAGCAGTGCCTACACCTACAATGATGTTGTGTTGTGTATTAGATTTTTGAAAAGTATTTTTATCAACAAAACAAATATTCAGAAATGGAGCAAAAGCATAATAAAGCATAGCCTTAAAGTTTAAATAGTGAATCTAGAATAACCATGATATAAAATACACTTTCCTGATAAAGCACACCTCCTACTTATGATAAACTGCTTACCATTATTCAGTGTGTCGTAATAACTAATCATTCTACATAAGAGAATGGGATGTTTTGGTAAGATTTGCATCAGAGTAGTAACTTTTTTTTTTTTAATGGAAGACAAATGAATACCTAAGAAATTGGCTAAAGCAAAAGATAACTATGAAATCCCTTCTCGTGGAAACCAGGGCGGGGGGGGGGATGTCGGGTGGGCAGGGAACGGGTATATGACATCAAAAAGGTTCACAACTTCTCAGCGTGGAAAAGCTCAAGGCGCTGCACCGGAGGATCAGTGAGCGCGCATTGCTGTCCGAAACCGCCAGTGCTTGCGAGGGTGTACCTGCCCCAAACAGCAGCAGAGGCAGCATTGCTTTTTGCTAGATTTCGGTTTAACGATATCACATGGGGTGTAGAGATGAGGGCCGGGGGGGAATCATGTGGGAAGCAAAAAATGAGAAACCCTGTGCCATGACATCTCACCCAATTTGGTGTAAAATGCAGGATAAATTGCAACACTTTCACTTTCTTTACATTAATATATGGTTTTCTCAGGGTACAGCATTGCATTAGGTGCTGAACATGACATCTTTCGGATTCACATCCAAGTCATGAGGTGCTAGGACGAGACTGCCAAAACATTGTTTAAAATTTTCAATTAATCATTGATTAACAATCTCCATTGTGAATCCCCTCATTAGCCACAATTATGCAGACCTGTGGTTATTTAGTTGTATTAATCCCATTCTGATTTAAGTTGTGGGTTTCTCTCCGTCGGACTGTAGCTTTTCATATTAAGCAAAATGTGTTTTAATCAGCACTAAGTAATTTAACCAGTAAGAAGTATTTGCTTCAAATGCCTGGACTTTAGATACTTTATTATCTACTAAAGGCAACATTTACCTTTTAAATGTAATCTGACGTTTTTTAATTGCTCCTTTTTTCCCCTTCTCCCTGGCAATTACTTTATTTACCCTGAATAATTTTTCTTTCAGTGTTTTCAACTCCCCTGGTAATAAAAGTAATCATTTAGTTACGGAGTGACTGCAGGCAGCTCATGAACGGAAATGCGACAGCCCAAGCTGTCCTTCGACGTGCCAGGGCATAGGACTTTAAAATGGAAATATTAGAAATAGGGGTTGGTTGTTTTTTTTTAACCTTTTTTCTAGGTTTCAGAACAATTTGGGAGGGAGGGAAGGAAGAACAGAAAGACACATTTGCTAAACAAACATTGTAAAGACTACTTGATTTTATTTAAAAATTTACAGGCATTTACAATGTTGCTGTGTTGCCAAATAGTTTGCTGGGTACAAGTTTGGTTGCTCATGTGCAAGTGTTTGAATAATGTTCTGTTCATGATGAAGGGGAAATTTTTTATATAAAGTACTTGTTTTATAAATAAAAGAAAATGAAGGATGTAATTAAATGTGTGGTTTGGAAAAAAAATCCTAATATATTACAAATGGATCTGGTAATGATATATAGTTGTCTTATTTGAAATAGTAAATGAAAATTCTAGCTAATTTAATGATTGTAAAACAGTAAATATGTTCTTGTAGTTTTGTATAATTAATTAGTTGGGATCTTTGCTGACCAGTTTTAATTGTGCAGAAGATGGTATACTAATCCATAACAGCTAAGATCATTTATATTCTTGCACATCTATTAAAGACTTTAATGAAAAAGTTAATAGACTGTTATTATTTATCAGTAAACTGAGCTATGTCCAACTTGCACTTTTTAAAGAGACCCCATTGTAAATTAAATCCGCAGGGTTCTCCCTGTGTTTTGACACTGTGTTCTGTGTATTCGGTATCTGTGGATCACACCTGAACTGTGTGGTTTTGAGGGCCAGGGAGGGCACAAGTTGAGATAGAAAACCGCACAGACACTGAAGTCTGTTAATCTGAGTTGTGCTCTTCACTGACTGTGAAGGCAGTTGTGACCTAAGTAGCTGAAACAGGCGCAATTGTACTGCTCTTACATGCAGCCCTTTGATGAGGGACTAATTAGAACTGTAAGGCTGTGAGTGAAGACATGGTGTACCGCGTGGATACCCTGTTCAGTAAACAATTAACTGTACTTGGGGGAAACAAACAACCTAATCTAGTTTTTCATCCCTTCCATCTGTTGTTACTAAACCATGGCTAAATCATTTATTGTCAGGGAAGAGGTCGCTTTTCTCAAGCCTACAAAGTGTTTACCTGCTACTACTGAGAAGTTACCAAAGTAGTAGGCGAGTCCTCTGAATACCTTCTAGCTGAAACGAACCCGGGTGTTCTTTATTCTCAAACATTGATGGCTTCTAAGGGGGAGTGTTGGAACTGATACAAAAAGCACCTCTTCTCCTGACTGACTGTATTAACTGTTGGGAAACGGGCAGGAGAAATGTTCGTTCTGGACCCTCAAGACTAGTCATGTTAATCAATTAGAAATCTACAAAGTAAGGTTATGAATTTAGCTGTGTTCCTTGAGAAAGATAAAAAAACCCACACCCATTATTTGGTCTGGTTTGTGTTTTCTTTTAATATAGATATACTCACAGCCAAGTAACACAAGTTCTTACTTGGATATTAAAATAATGAAAAATGCTAAGCTTGAATGACTTTTTTTTAATTAAGCTTATTTTCACAGAATACCTCTTTAGAGAAGGAAAAAAAAAAAAAAAGAGGTCAGTAAACTTTTTGATGAGATGAAATAAGTTCTCTTGTTCAGCTGCAGAACAACCCTGCTGCATCAGACAAAACAGGTTCTTCAGTGATTTACAACAGTGCCTTTTTCCAGAAGTACCCAAATTCCAGGGGTGGCAAGACTGGTTTCCCTGGGAGTCTCTGTGGCATCCCACAGCAGCAGTTTCAGCACTCTAGAACTGTATTACGTGTATTTGAGAGGATTTAAAATAAAAATATCCCAAACAGGCACGTGGCACTTGACTTTCTCTGGAATTACTGGTTTATGGTCTTTAAGATGGTTTGAGATGAGGACACGCTTCCTTGACACACCTTTTCCTTTGAGAAAGGTTCATCCTTGGCCTTGTTCCTTTGTTCTTCATTCTTCTGGATTTACCACATTACATCATCTGCGCTTTCAGCCAGGCACCTAGCCAGGTGGCCATCGATATCCAGTTGTGACAGTCTGCAAAGACAGAGAACTTGTTCACTGAGAAACACTTACACTGTTCTTCCCCTTCGCTCCCTCGGTTCCTAAGCAATCACAGAAGGGTTCTAGCGGCTTCATGGGTAAGTCACTCCTGTGCTCAGAAGCACCGCAGTCCGCCACAAGCCCCCATAGTTGCTATTACCTGCTGCTAGATAGTTAGATGATGTCATTTTCTAGAAGGCAATGCTCACAGTCCGTGTGCTGAGGACAAGTACTGCTATCCTTGGAACTGTCAGGCTATGGATGGGGGATAGGAAACCATCACCAAAGGCCAACGCAAGGATGCAGGAAATGAGGTTTGTGACAGGGGAAGGATGCTGTCTCTTGTCTGCTTTCAGTTTCCTTTTTTGGAGGGCTATTTTTGTCACTGTGATGTGACCCTCCCCACTACCCCTATTACAGTAATTTTTTGTAAAGCAGCTTCTATAAAAATTGAAACTAATCCTAATCAGTGCAGTTACCAATAGCACAGAATTAAACATGAAGACCTGAAGTATGTTTAGCCTTTGTCTACATTTCTTGATATAATGGCCACAACTTTATAAATACTAATAAAGCCATCCTTTTGTCTCCTTGTTCAGCCTCCAAAACAAAGACAACAACGTTGCAGCCAGTACATCTTACAGTGTTAGAGGCCCTGTTCAAAAGCACGTTTTCAGCAACTCTGACAGCCTAAATACTATTAAGTGGTGTAATTTCAAGAGACAAAATAATTCTTACTATAGAGTAGATATTTAATTGCTAGGAGGGAAGTTGCTTTTGGTTTTGTTTTTTTTTTTTTCCCATAAAGGTATCCTGACAGCAACTGAAATGAGACTGAAGTCTCATTTAGTTGTACGAATCGGGGCTTGCCTAAGGAAAATCAGCTTCCTTCTGTCTTGCCCAGACCTTGAAAGCTAAATCTGAATTTAAGAGCCAGTTGCTCAGCCAAAGGCATCCAGGTGCTTGCTGAGCAGGTACCAGAATAGCTGCACCAGTGAAGTCTAGATTTTGAAAAGAAAACAATTAGAGTAATCCATCTAGTCCTAAAGTTAGCTTTTAACTATCTAGAATGCTGCACTGGGAATGGTTTTTGGATTATCACACGAATTTTACAAAAAAGTCTTTTCATACTCAAGTATTTTAAAATGCCAATTGTGCATATACTAGCAAGGTTCACCAGAGAGCTTAAACTTCACTTTCTTTTTGAAGCAGTATAATATAGTAGTCTGGAACAACTAAATTGAATTAGAAGTAGGCAATTCTGAC